GAGGAGCCGTCCTGGTTGGCAGGGCTGGTGGCCAGTGGCGTCCGTGCGCACACCGCAGCGAGTCAGCCCTCTCGTGATGAGGCCGTCGCATGGTCAAATAGACTCGTTGGGCAAGGAGCAACTTAATCTGTGCAGAAGAACCCGTTCTAGGATAGAGTCACAGAATCAACAGGGTTGGGCCTTTAAGATCATCGAGTGCGACCGCTGCCCAGCACTACCGAGGCCACCACTAACCCATGTCCCTGAGGGTCTCGGCTACACGGGCTGTGAACGCTTGCAGGGACGGTGGCTCCAGCACTGCCCTGGGCAGCCTGTTCAATGCCTGAGCACCTTTCGGGGAAGGATCGTTCCTAATGTGCAGTCTTAAACCTCCCCTGGTGGAGCTTGAGGCTGTTTCCACTTGTCCTTGTTATCTGGGAGAAGAGACGAACCCCCACCTCACTACAACCTCCTTTCGTTTAATGAAGACATCAGAAAACTTAAAGGCACACATAATTACAAAAATGCAGCCTTTTACTTTTTATAAGCAGATGCAAGCACATTTTTACTATTTCAACATAAAACTTCGATTTTACTCCTGTAACACAGCTCCATAATTTGAAAACCCAGTTCATTAACTGCTCTAACAGGATCCTCCTTTTTAATGTTTAAAAAACCTCCTTCCACTACTTCTTCAGTGTGGTCCTAATACTGGAAGATGACATGAAAATACTCAGCACAGTGCAAGAGGCTCAAAGTGCGTTTCGTTCTTGCCTAAATCCTTCAGTTTTGTAATAGTTTTAAGTGTGCCCATTTTCAAAGTCTTTTCTGAATATTCCCTTCAAGATCAATATACAGTTGTAAAAGGTTTCTTCACAGTAGAATTAAAGACCTATTTGCCAGTTCTCAGTTCCAGCAGTAATGTTAATAAACCTCGTAACTGTTGTGGATGTTTAACATTTATATTTTTAAAACCTGCAACTCTTCTGTAGCTGTAGAATAAATACTATTCTAAAATGCCCTTTTTCAGTCTAAGGCCTCGGCAATAACTACTGTGTTTAGTTCCTCTTGAGGTAGAATAGTTCAGTTGGAAGCACAGTGACCATCTAGTCGAACAGTAGAGTTTACAGCATAAAAGAAAAAAGTTATGCCCGCTCTGTGACTGCACTCCAATGTAATTCAGACATTGCAAGCCAAATTGCAAATTCTGGTTGAGTACAGATGCCAAAACCAGAAGACTCCCACTTGATTCAAGGAGAACCTTAATAACTTTCTGTAAGAGGTGGTTGGATCTTCAGCGTCATGCAAGAAGAGAACAGGATTTTCCGGTTTGAGTCAGTCCCATTTTTCACAGATGATGCTGTGCCATCATCAAGAGTTCTTTTCCTGAGGTCAACAGGCATGAGCTATGTGGCATACGTATTCACATGGATCTTCTCTAATATTCACTGGAACATAGGGAAAAATATTTCGGATTTATGGTTAACCTCAAATAGTCAGAATCAATCAAGGAACCACATTAAATCAGCCAGGACACGAAGATGATAAACTTTAGAGCTGTCAGTAAAAGTAATTTACTTCCTACTCCAAGATACAACTATTTAATCTAGATTTTCTTTTCTAAAATAAAATTAACTGTACAGCTAATGAAATGCCATTGTTCAGACGTAATAGTTGTAATCTACTAAAAAAAGGTCCTGTAACAGATTTCACTCCTTTATATACTTAAGGTTGATTTGAAGTTTGGTCCAATAATGAGCAAAAGCAAACAGTAATAATAAAAGAAATATCCAGGATGATTAGGGCAAGTATGTCCATGAAGATATGGGAGAGGAAATTGAATGCAAGAGTTTTAAAATGAAAATCAAATGGATAATTCATTAGCATTGCATGAAAGTTTAACTCCAGTCTCTTAGAAGTGCTGGTCGCAGCCATGTTCTTGCCAGGTGGCATACCTGAACCCAGGTTATCATCACAAGGAGTCTCGGGAGAAAAATCAACAGCATAAAGCTAGAAAAAAAATACTCCTTTCCAAATCTGGTAAAGGTCTCTCTAGAGTGTCACAGAAGAAAGGGAGGAGTTGGCCATTCAGTTTAAAAGAAAAAGCATTCAAGTTTTTTAAACTGAAAGATCATCCTTCGGCTCCCAAAGCTGACAAAAAAGACTAAAAAATTCCAAACCTCAGTGTCTGTATTCATCTGAAATGTCAGGTCTCTGTAGGAATTCTACATTTAACACAGTGATTATGCTTGGAAGATAAGGGGCTGTTTGGTGAATGTTAGCAGTCAGTCAGTATGATCTGTAATTTCCTTTAACTGGTTTTCATCCCTGCATCTTCAATACTCAGAGGAAACTTCTCTTCTTCTGGCAGTGAGCCTTGAAGTAAATTGTCCTCATTTTCCACTGAGAGCTGAATTTCAGTTTCTTTTTTCAAGAGGTGTTCTTCTCTTGAAAGGGGAATTTCTTCCCCTGTTGGGGAATGATAGAGAGCGTTTCCATAATCCATGCTAGTTGAACTAGTCTGTTCTGGGAACTGGGAACTGCAGTCTGGACTGCATACTTCAACAATACAAGTCACATTCACCTGCGTTCCTCCGTTACCAGGATGCCCTGTCAAATGAACAGAAAACACATTCAAGAGGGAAGAACGAAACCCAGAACAGCACAGTTGCGTTCTTTTATTCAGTTCTTTGACTTAACGTTAAAATAGACACTAAATATCTTCTTGCTTCACTTCATTTAGGCATGCTGGTGGAGCTGATCCACTAACATTTTAGGGGCTTTTTGGTACCATAAAATCATCCCAGAAATAAAAAAACAAAAAAGCCATAAAAACTAATACAGAGCCCTGGGTTAGAGCCAGCTCCCTACCCACCTGTGGCTACTACAGTTGCTTCAGACAATGTGCTTATTTTAGTGTTCCCTTTGGCTCTTACTTCCATGCACAGGTATGTTCCTGTGATCACACTGATCCCTTAGTCTGCAAACAGCTTTTGCTCCATGAAGCGTATTCTTCACTGCCTGAGGCTGACAAAACAATCACTTTTTCTTCTCAATTACTAAATACTCTGCTGAACATGAGTTTGATGTTTTATCCTATTTAAACTTCTGCTAAAAGACTCATAACTGATAATCAAATTTCAAGTGGTTTTAGATCGTTCTGATACATTCTTACCTGAACTCGCAGAGTTGTGTCTGACTCCGCTGTGACACTTACATCCTTCTGCAGCTGAATGTTGCTGCTGAAATCCTTCTGTTTTTTTCTTTTCATTGTTCTTGTTGCTTATTACACTGACTCTTGCAGATCCAGTTGGATAATTCAGGGAGCTGCTGCTGGACCCAGAAGTTTGCAGGAGATGCTGTTCCTCGTGGTTGGAACTGCTGGAGTTTTGCAGTCCTGTATTTCTTACTTTTTTGTCACACTGCTTTTCTGTGGGGGAAGAAGGCTGGAACATTTGCAGAGAAATGCAAAACATTAATCCTTTTAAAAAACACTAACTGGTCAGTACTTGGGCAGCTGAAGGAACCCCTGATAGTTGTTATTTGCTTTATGATGACTGAGTAAAATTCACATCAGCTCATTAGTTGTTCAGGAAAATGAACCTGTCTCCTGAGGGCACGTACAGGATTACACGGGGAGAAAAGGCCCTGTCATGGTCTTCCGAAGCACACTTATAGTTTATTGCTGATAGAGCCTCACATAAAGAGGATAGTACGTTATGTCATTTATTTAAGGTACATCTTATGCTCCAGCTTGGGGACCAAACCATGCTTTTCTCATTCCAGTTGTCTTCCTGCTGTGCAGTTTTCTTCTACTTGTAATTAGATAAGACTACATGATTTCTGTGTAACTTTTAAAGGGATGGAAAAGATGTAAAGAAGAAGCGACACTCACCGAATTTGCTTCTGTGGCTGGTGGAGAGAATACAGGGGCTGCAAGTGAGGAAGGACAGTTCATTAGCACCCATATTTGTTGAGCTGCAAAAGCTGCTTTCTTAAGTAGTCTCAGCGATACCCTCTGCTAGAATAAATTCCAAATGTACATTTATTACACACTGCTTGAAAATGTTGAAAGCTGTATTTTATTTATTTTGTAAAGTGGTTTAAATTTAATGAGCAAGCAAAGAAGACCCCTGCATGAATTAATAATTTTTCTAGTATGAAGTTGGAGGGAAAAGGTATTAATAAAGTACAGTTATGACTGCTTAATGATAACATCTGATAACTTCTAATATTTGAATGAGGAAGTACAACATATTTAAACAAGCTGCAGTAGGAGTACAACTGTTGCACAGTTGCCCAGCTCCACTAAGATGTTTTATGTTTAGACAATTATCTAAAATCTGAGGAATGAGAGATCTGAATGGGACATTTGCCTCACTGTATCCCTGTACTGAGATGAATTTCACCCCATATAACTTAATAAAGATACTTTAAATATGTGTGGAATTCCTGGAGTGTTTTTTTAACTGTGTTTTCCTGTAACCACAAAGCTCATGTGCTCAAGCTGACTTGTATGAGTTTTCTCTTCGTCTCTTTTCTGTTGAAGCTTTTTGCCAATTTCAACCCAATGGAACAGAGGAATCTGTCAGAGCTCGTCAGGGTTTCATGAAGCTATGGGCTGCCAGCTAGTGAGACAGAAACCTGTAACGCATCACCTTGTCCCTTTAGGAAAAAAATAAACTCATACATTGTTAGACATCAAATTATCTCCACATTAGTGATACTTCATCCATATCCAGCCATGAGAAAAGCTTCAAAGAAAGCTACCATCTTCTAAGACATTAATGTCAGTCAACCAGAGGCCTTAAATTAGTAGGAGATGAAGTGACACTCCTTCCAATATTTACAGATCTGCTGTTTTCACTTCATGAATCTTACCTTTTTTTTTGGAGACTAAGCAATACCCCAGAATACTGATTATCAGGAACAATAACAATGGCCCTGCTACTGATCCTGAAAATAAATGAAAAAGCTAAATTAGCAGGTTGATCTGACAAAGGATCCAATGAGAAAGAAGCAGTTTTGCAATTTTCTGTCTATGGCTACAAAAGTTAAATGTACAAATATCAGTGTGTCCAACATTCAGGTTTGATGCCTCTGTTGTCAGATACCAAGGTCTCATTTCAATCTGCATCACTTCAAAACGTGGAATTTTCCTGTCCTGAAAAGTGAGGACAGACTTTCAGCCTCCATCACTAAATCGGTCTCTCTCGGCTAGCAACAGTTTGTTAAATACAAGACCAGGCAGCCCAGAATGCTCCTGAATGCCTTCTGGAGAGGTTGTGGATAGGAGAGAACACAGCCACAGTTGTGGATGCCGTAAGGAATTCCTGTCTCAGGAAAGGCTGCTGGAAGTCTCCAAAGCCCTCTCACCAGGACCTTTATGAAGTCAAGTTTGCCTCAGTCTGGAATCTAGAAATCTGACCTTTTCTAGGAGCTCCTTCATAGTAGCAGATCTCAGGAAATGCCTTGTCTAATCTAGTGTGGGGGTTTTTAGGAATATCTCCAGAATTACAAGGCCTGTAGAATGCACTGGGGTAGCACAGATGCACAGGTAAATATTATGCAACTCACTACAGGCAGTGTCATACTGAATTAATTCAGCTCTTCTGAGATTCTTTTTGGGTACAGGTAATTGGTCTTGAAAAGAAACAGAGAGCTAAATATAAACTTGCTTCCTAGGCAGACCAGAGTGACTTTAGATGAGTAAATAGCTCACCGATGATGTGAGAATTGTCAGATGCAGAGTTTAAAGTGACAGGTCGAGTAATTATTTCAGGTCTGTTAGAAGCTGAGCTCTGAGTCAGGAGCAGGTTGAAAACAGTGTTAGGTAGAACTGTGGCAACTGCTGTTCCCGAGTCCCTGCAAACAGTGTCATTTATGCTGTTTCCAGGAATAGCCACTGATTTGCAACTGCAAAAAGCAAAAAAGAGAGTTAGGAAAGAAAGCAACCCTGTGCACAGTTAAGGTTGCTATCAGATGGAAACACTGGCTTACACTTTATGTGGTATGCAGCTGGTGTCATAAGATTCCTCATGTGAAAAAGTGCCAGGAGGACAAGGTTTACATTCTGTGTCTGTGCTCTCTGTCCCTTTAAACAAACAGGAAAACTCCAGTTAGTCATGTAGTGAGAATCAGGAATGAATAATCAAGGTCTGTGATACAGATCCTGGAAGTGATACAGGGGCAGTACACAAAATACATTCTTTAACTGTCACAAAAGAGATCAATTTGAAACACTCAACCCAAGCACAACTCAGAGATTAATCGGCTGTTGGTGTGGTCCCCTGGATAGCCAGTCTTTGAGAAGAACCGCAGAAACCCACCGAAAGGTTAAAAAGTGGTACTGCAAAGTTGAACTTTTTCATTAGTCCCTGACAGACTGAGCACCTATTCCATTTTGTTGGAGTTTCTGTACCTTTTCAAATGATTCTTAAGTTCTTAAAAATACTCAGTGTTCCACCAATGGTAATGATAATCTTTGAATATCATTTATCATCTTGAGACAGCTATAGTATCAGCGGTGAATTTCATCATCTAATAAAACCAGATTAATTCTGCAGGACAGCACAGAGTCACCATTACTGTAACTGCAGTTGCATTATATTGTATTATAACCATAAATATGCACATTTGTAACCAAAACCTGAAGCCCTGTTTCAAGGATTTAAGGAGGAATGAAGTAGTCTTGAATCTGAGTTACTTACATAGTAAGTAACACAGTAGAGCATAACGAAGGAAGATTAAGTTGGGTTAGAGAACTTTATGATATGTAGCAGTAATAGATTGCAACATGTCCCTTTGGACAGGCCTCTTGAGAATACTGTTGCTCTGAGTTATTGCCTACTTGCTAAGATAATGCTTGCACTAAAAAGAGTGACTAACTGTAGGGAATTAAAAGACCGTATTCCTGTCATTTACTGAGTTGGAGACAGATCCAGAAATACTGACATATGATTAACACAAAAAAATAATCCTCTTCATACAGTAAAACAATTAAAGAATTAAATTACCTCTCCTGGAAACCCGGTAACCTTTTCTACATTTTTTATGCACTTTACATATTCTGCAGTACTTGTATATTTTTGAAATGCAATACTTATTGGGTGGGCAGCTGCAGATTCTGTCCTGTGATGTAGTGCATGTTTGATTCTGCACAAATCCTGGGTTTGAAACAAGAATAAAGCAAGATGTCATTAGCAACATTTAAAATCATAGCTTTAAAGAGAATAGCTTCTGGCTAGTATACCATCATGAAACAAATACATTATATGCCCCAACAGCTACATTTTCAGAAGACTTTCCTTTCCCTAGGAAAGGAGAAATGTGCATGCAGAGAATGCACACTTGAAACTCTGTACCTGCGGTTGCATTATATTGTATTATAACCATAAATATGCACATTTATATTACTTGTGTTCATCACTGCAGGATCTAGGGGCCACACTAAGATTTGTAGTCTATGCAGATCATGACTGGATGCTGGAAATGGAATTAGCCATTTATCCCAGCACAAGTTTGGTCTTAAGCTCCCTTGGCTGAAGAGTGTAAGCAGGAAGTTACTCTACTGATGACATCTGGATCTGTTTTAGTGATGCAGTGCTTTAGTTTCCAAGCATATAAGATTGGCATCACATTTTAGGACTTGGAAAGAAAAAGATGCAGGGCTCTCTGCAAGACTTTTCCCTGCTTCTTTTACTCAGATCTTCAAAGTACCAAAAGCATGAGAAGTGATAGACAAAACCTCCTAGTTTTCTTAGGAGAAAAGACTAGGCTAAGCCAAGCCTGCTTTTTGAGCAGGCTGTTCAAGTCCCAAATGCATCTTTGCTAATTCAGTCCTACCTTTCCTGCAGGGTGGTGAGCACGCAAAGCACTGAGGAGACAGATTCCAGATTTCTGTATATGTGTTAGGTCTACAGGGACTGCACTTTGTGTCCACAGTGTAACTGCAGCTCTCTGTCTTATATTGACCTGTTAACACAGAGAAAGCATCTCACTGGAAAAGATTACTAGGAATTGTTTAAGGTAAGTTTCATTCTTAGCTGTGGAAACCCCTTCCTGTCACTGCCACTATCAGACTGATAATATACCAAGCAAGTACTGATTTCAAGGAGGACTCCATGTATGTACAGGGAAACTCTGATGGTTTTTGTGTTATTAATGTGTGGTCCCTTTTCCTACATTGTTCAGTGAATTCCAGCATGACCAAAACAAGGAGGCCTCAATCCTGAACAAAACCCCTCAGCATATACTTAGCTGCAGCTACCAGAGTACATAAACCAAACTTGTTACCCTCAGAGAAGCTGTGTTCAGTGGTGAAACAAAGGATGGTGTTTCATGCTGAAAGTCAGGCACGTGCTGGAATGATGTGTCTGGGTGAAGCCTTTACTGATAGACTGCAGGCAGCAAGTGAAAAAGGCATAATAAAGTATTATCACAAACAGACCTGAAGTAGAACTTCACCACTTGTCACTATCAAAGCGGTGTGAGCTCATTCTTTTTTCTTCACCTCTTCAGTCAGCCCTAATAGATCAAAGCAACAAGTTTCTGAAGCTACCGGCATTACAGACAAAATCTAAAGCTGTCAAAGTTTCTCCAATGCTTCTCACCAACAACAGAGTTCAGTGCAGTGGTGGGAATAAACAAAATATGAATTCCAACATATCCATTTTGGAGGAAGGGAAACACCTCATTTGCCATTTCCCCCTTGCTTGAAGAGAGGAAGAAAATAAAAGTCAATGTCTCATATCCTGTACAGAAACATCCTGGAAAATACACACAGAAAGCAGGAGTAACACTGAAAATCTTTGGAGCTGCTTGGAGAATCTCTATTCTCCAAAAGAACAGGCCCTGGAGGTGAGCCATAGGAATTATTTCCAAAGACTTTGTTTTTCCATGTACTTATTTGAAGCTTAAAATGCCACCTCCCACATCCTGCTACTGATTTAGGCTTCAATTTTTTATAAATTATAGTAAAAGAAAAATTCAAATTCATAATAACAAAGATTTTTTTACTTCCTACAACTTGTTGTCCAGTTTGTTATTCTAAGATACTAAAATTAAGGACAAGTAGACTGACCAGTATGTACCACAACAGAAAAGGATTTAACCTATGAATAATCATCTTTCATCTGTTGTGTTTTTAACAAAGGAAGTTGGGCCGATCTATCCAGACACTTTAGTTTAATTCAAGCAACTGTGGCTGCTTCAGCACATGATTTCCTTCTTAGATTTCCAAATCTGACAGGAACTCAGCACTTACTGAGACAGATTTTGTTTGCTCAGCAAGTAATGGGGGAGAAGGGAGGGAAGGGAAAAGCAGTTTTTTGCTGTGTTTAATCTAATAATATAATGACAACTTGTTGCAAAACCTCTATTATTAAGATACCCAAATAGCATTTCTACCCCCAAAAAAGCCAAACCCACACAGCCGCCTTTCTGCAGTCAAGAACTTCTGCTAACAAAAGATTGCTAATAATTATTACTGGAGTTTAAGGCATGACACCTCAAGACAGGCAGTTTCTGTAGTCTTGTACCCAGCCTCTCACAGTGGTCTGCAGTGTCCGATTTACAGTAAATGACAACAAAACTCCTCTAATGAGTAATTATACATCAACCTGTCCAATGGAAAGCCCCTTATTTAAGTGATACTATCAGAATACAGTAACTAAACTCTACCTTATGCCCTGTTTTACAATATATTTGTTGGTAGTGGACTCGGATCTGACATGTGTTGTCTGATTTCTGTAATTCCATAGTGAGCTGTTGCTCCCCCCCAGTGTTGACTTAAATACACTTTGCTCAAAACACCATGCAAAGCGGTGCTCACAAGAGCTCAGCAGCCTACCTCTCGATAAGCCCCAGCCAGGTTAACCTGATAAGAGAGTTCCAGTTTTGATGAACAATGTGGCTTTTCTACAGATCTCTCAAGAGTCACACCATTCTACTGTCTTCCAGCTAGAATGCATTGCAACAGCAAAAAATCCAATGCTCTTCAGACATATTAATAATGAAAATGCCCTATGCTCATCTGAAAACTGACTGAATTTGGCTGTGCAAAGTAATAGTTTGAATTAAACCTACCTGGAGGGCACTGGCTGCAACATTTATTAAGTAGTTCTTCATAGAATTCAGTGCTGGGATCTTTGCATTGTGCAGACTGTGGTGTATAAGGCAGTGAATAGTCCTAGGAGAAGTTAATGGAAAATCATGAGTCACAAGTGCATTCTGCATTCTGACCCTCAGATAGAGATCTAAAAAAGAAAAACACTAAAAGATCAGTGCAATTATAAGCCTTTTCCTTTCCAAGGCACTGATGTAGGCTTGATGGAACAGAAAGCATCAGATGCCAAAAAGCTGCAGGAGAACGCAGAGCTTATAAGCTACTTGAGACCATTTAGAGGTTCCTCTTGTCACAAAGTGATCTCTCCAAGTTTTATGTTCAAATGCAATGGAACTATGGGATTAGCATCTCACCTGACCACTACGGCATCCCCTGAACCCAAGGGCTTAGTACCTCTTCACTGTTTCCATGATTCAAACAGCCTTCACCAAAACATCATTGAAACCTGAATTCTTACTTGCGGGTTTGTAGGGAGAAGCATTTTCTGCAAAGTGGTTATGTTAAAAATGATACCCTTCTTACTTAGTAGGTCTACCCCCTGTAAACATTTAGAGGTGAAAACTAGGAGGTTGGCTTTGCTACTTATTAATTCCCTCAGGCCTTTTGAGGTGGTGGAAGAGGGAGCTGTGGACCTGGCACTACTGCAGTACTTGAAGAAACGTCTATGGTTTCATCAATGCGTGCAAAGGACACTAAGTTCAATTCTTTATTGTGCTTTTGTTCATTATCACTTACACCCATGCAATATCCCGGCAAGATAACCCATCCCTTCAGTCAAAGAACTTGTACTATTAGAACTGTTTCACTAAAGGAAAGATAAAAAAGGCTTTTATTATTCCAGACACTTTGTGATTCCTTTCTGAATGAGAAAGACCTTGATGCTTTGAAAAAGATGTCTCCAAAACCTGCAGTGCTGCTTCTGAAAAGGAACAACTGGCTACAAGACTTAAATTAAATTAAAAACCCTACCTCATATGGCAGGTCAAATGCATAAGAAACAGTCATGAAATACAGTATATCTAATTTTTCAGCACACACCAATCAGCACACCTCAATGACTTGAATGAACAAGTGTTAAAATATTTGAGGACCTGCCATCTGTTTTCAAAGGAAAAACAGACTCACTCAGAAGAAAAAGGCTAATGTTAGGTCATACAAGCGTAGGAGTTTCCTGCTAGATCAGAAAGATGCTGCTTAAAAGGTATGTGTCACAGCTCAGTTTTCTGCAGTCTGAAGAAATTGCTCCATGTATAAATGACACACATTTAGAGAAGTACTTTAAAAGTATTATTTAAATGAGAAACCAAAACAGGAACAAGCTCTTGGGAGGCCGGTAATGAAAATATCCTTCCTCTGTACCGAAAAAACCCATGTTGATTATCTGTTGTGTCTTCACATTAGTAGACTAACACTTCCCACTCAACAATTGCTTAAAGGGGACCCAACATCTTCTTATGCAGCTTGTTGAAATATTTCACCTCTTATCTAGATATATAGAGGAAGCAGGGTTTTACCCATCTACTCAGTGATCAGTGTCAAAAAGAACCTTCCCTGAGAATGTGAAGCAGAGAAAAGCCTTCTTCAGTTTCAATATTCATTCCAGAAAAGAAAAAAGGAAAGCAAACAATTCAATTAGAAGTTTCAGAGCTCCTATTTACAACACTGTGAAAGCTGGTGGCACTGACCAGACATCAGGACAATTCTGGTCTGTTCTCACCAGTTAAAGACTCAAAACCAGGGAGGCTGGGGTGCATTTTACCAATACCAGCCCCATTTGCTCACAGCCAAATCAACAAGAAACAGCCAACTTGCAAATTGAAGAACAAACTTGTAAAGATGCTTTCAACAAGCTAGAAGCTGTGATGGGGTGGGGAAGGATGACCAGAAAGAACAATAATCATTCTCCTTCTTAAGCACCGGCGTGGGTGAAGAAAGAAACAGCTGCTGAGCACAAGCTGCATTTTACAAGTTCTTCTCTGTGTCTTTTGCTGAGAAGAAAGCCAGTTTTGCAGGAACCATGCTGCAGCCCTAGATATCTCCAAACTCCACTTTGGCCTCCCATTTTTGCTTTCCAGTTAAGTAGGCTTATTTAAAGGGACTGGCACTAAGATCGAGGACTTTGAAGCAAAACCAAGAGGCTGGCTGCAACATTATTGGTTTCATCATTATTCATGAGAATAACTCCCATAGCAATTCAAAAAGAAAACCAAGGCTTTTCAATACCTTCTAGGTTCAGTAATAACTTAATGCTGGACTTGCTATTATACCCTTATAGGATGGGCAATGATAAAACACACCGTTTGCAAGTGTGAGCTGACACTAAAATCTGTTTAAGGAGAAAAGAGCTCTGCTGTCATGAGAAGTATTTGTCATTTAAGTTCCTTTCTTGTTTATTAAAAGAATAAGTATCACATTTTTGTAGTCACTATGATCAATTTCATTAAAACAAGCACTTGAGAGTCGCTTTAAAACATAAAACTTCACTGCAAAAGCAGACATAGCGGAGAAAAAAAGAGAGAAATACACTAAAACACATCACGAATTATCCTGCTGCTGAAGCTTCCCTGCAAAAAATGTTCTGATCTCATACTCTGCATTGTCTGTTGTAAATACTGCCCTGTGAGTTAAAGACACAGGCAAACCTGTTGGTTCATGAGTTCACATCTACTTCCCTTAAGGTGTGCATTAAAGGATCTCTCCACTGTCTGATACAATCTCCCTGAGAATTTATCTGATGAGCTGAGCAATCAGTGACATACAATTGACAATTTCTTGCCAACTGTCTTCAAAGAACATTATGGGAAACTGAAAGGGACTTGTAACTCACTTGGGTACAATTTATACACACGCACACACAGAGACACACACATACACACACGAGCTCAGCTTTGTTTGCACTAGATGGATGCTGTTAGTTTTGGTAGTTACTTCCAATGTGAACTAGTTTAATCAAAGCTGTCAAGGTCAGCAGTCAAATCTACAAATTGGAGAAAGTGTAGGTCTCTTACCAGGTATAAAACTCTCCTTGATGTCTTGGTGACAAGACCCCTCCACTTTTTCTAGCCATCTCACCAATTTTAAGGTCTGAGTTGGGCAGTATATTTGTATCTGGCATCCAGATCCATTGGCTACTTTGGGCTGAAAAACTGATGACTCTATTCCACAGTCTTTGCATTTTATTACTGTTCGTATCTTTCCTAAGTCCTTATTTTGTCTTCTGCTTTTATTGTGATTCAATATTCTGTGAACAAATTGTGTGAAGGGAAACTAACCTGATGCTGCATCTTCTGCAGCATTATAGCCTGAGAACTTCTCAGATTAGGTAGTGGTGTGTAATGGCATCAGACTTTTAAGATATTTATACAGACAAAATGAAGTCTTTGAAAGACTTCATTTAATTTGACAGATAGAAGTAGGAGTAAAATGCCTCATCTGTCAAGTTGCAGAGACACACACATTATTAAATATGAAATTTAGTCTAGTTCTATACACATCAACCAAATGAAGCAATATATTCTGGCACAGAAATGGGTAAACTGCTTGCCTTTGACTACACACCTCACGAGGAAGATTTGTGCAATGCCTGTGTGTTAAGCAATAATTAAGTGACATGCAAAGAAGTCAATGACTCAAGTCTCTGTCCAGAGTCCCTGCATTGTCTGAATAGTTTTTCCATCTGCGCTACAGACATCCAGTAGAATTGTGACCTAATTTATCACTGGAAAGGAGTGGGCTAGCAGCAGTTTCCATACAGAGAGGGTAGTACAGACTCTTCTAAATACATATGCACAAACACAATTGTTTCCAGGATTCCCTATATACTACCTCCTACCCATTGGAAGATAAAACTAGCAGAGAATATACCTGTATCTCATGATTTTCAGGGCTGCAGCTGTATCTGTCCTGTGTGGAGTAGCACTGGTGAAAGGAAAGGGTCTGAAAGCTGTCCCCTGCACACAAAAACACGAGGCCACCACAACTGAGACCCTCACAGTACCACAACTGAGACACTTAGAGTATCACAGCTGAGCACAAGCCATGAACTAATAAACTAGACTTGGATTCAGAGTTCTTCCAAATTAGAAGGGCTTGATCCAATGCACCAACCTGGCTCTGCTGATTGGTGAGGAAGTCCAGGTCTCAACTACTCACAGCATGTGATGAAGAATTGCATTCCCTATATGCTGAATATTAACTATAATGAACATGATTTCCTTTATTTCCTGCCTTTACAGCTTGTTTCTCTATTCTTGGACTTTATGTGTAATTAAATGTAAGTATCTTCTGTAATAAAAATAAAACATTTTAATATAATGGATTATTATCTAGATATTAATCAATTCACATAACATTCATTTTCACCTAAGGAGTCCATTCAAAGAAAGATATTTAAGTATATATTTTAATCCTAACTCACATATCTACATTTTTATTGATCCCGTCTTCATACATTTATCTTCGTCAAACTTAAGCTGCCAAACAAAGGAGTCTGAACAGGAACTACATCTGGTGTGTAATGTTCTTTACGCATATGAAACCACAATGAAGTCACCAAGGACTCTGATGTAAAAGTCTGTTGCTATGGAAAGGACTTGAGGTAGAGAGATACCGTTTGCTGAGCTATCAAACCTGCTGACAACAGGAAAAAACAGAATTTTGTTCAAAATACTTAAACTGGTCATTTACAGAAATAATTCTGTTGAAGATTATTCACCAGATACCAGCAAGTCTGACCAAAACCAGCTGGAGTTGTATCCAGCTGTACCATCTGTACTCAAACCATAAAGCTTCTTATAAAGCTGCTTTCCTGCAAATATCTAAGATGATGGGTCCATTATGTGAACTATTCTCCCATCCTATATTGTACTTCTCTAGAGCAGGAGTCCTTAAGTAGCCACATAGAAACAGATTTACAAGTCCACATTCCCCCTCCCTGAGAACACTGTCGTTTTGCTTACTGTTAGGGATTCTACTTCATGCTACTCACCACCGTAACACGAAAACACATTTCCAGAATGACATGGGAGGAGGCTGCATAGAATATGGAAACTATTCACAACATA